GTGCTGAGATGCTGCTCCGGCAGGAGTTGGAAGAGAAGTTGCGGTCACAGACCAAGGTGTCGCTTCTGAGCAGCGCTCTGCGGGCGCTGTGAAGAGGGCGCTCGCGTCGGCGCGGGCTGAGAGCTTGCTGCGGCACAAGAGCTGAGGCGCTCCGACCGCGACAACCTGAGGACAGCGCAGCAGGCTGCTAAACGCGACATCAAAGCGGCCGAGCGGATGGCCGACGAGGTAAAACACGCAGCTCGAGCTGATTTTGAGAGGTGTATCGGCGAGATGCGTGCCAAGATGCAGGCTGAGCGGCTGCGCGAGCAGCTCGACGCGCTGCAGATTTCGATGGAGGCAGAGGCGAGGCGCGCTGATGCCGCAGCGAGGCGGAGAGGTCAAGGCGAGCTGCACAACAAGATGGAGGGGATTATGCATATTTTCCTCTACTTATATACATATTTTGGGCCAATATAGTGTTAGTGACTTCTAATTGTTAAGAGATAATACGCGGACGTCGGAGAAGAAAAATGTGAGCCGGCTGCGCTCGAACAGCCGCTCGTAATCAATACACATAGAGTAACGCGCGCCAGCGAGAGCGGAGATGCAGCGTTTGCGTGTGGGCCCGTACGGCTTTATCGCTGCGGCCCCCCGCAACCCGCCAAGCCAAAATGACACAGCGCCGCCACCGCCGCTCCCCGCGTTTTCCGGACGCTAAGTGGGCGCAAACGGTCACGTCGCCCCCATCTCCACCGCCATGCCGACCGCCTCGCCTGCTCGCTCGGCCGACGCACCCGTAGGAGCCTCCTGCTGCCTCGCCGCCTGGCCGCCCGCGCCACCCTGCCCCGCAGCGCCCGGCTGCCCCGGCTGCCCCGGCTGCCCCGCCGCTACCGCCGCCGGATCGAGGGGCGGCGCCGGCGCCGGCGCCGCGCTGCCCGCGCCCGCCGCCGCCGCGTCCACCGCGCCGCGCAAGGTGGGCGCCATCGCGTAGCCCCCGTCCGGCGTCGGGACGAGGTAGGCGGACGGTGCCGCTTGCCCCGCCGCTTGCCCCGCCGCTTGCCCCGCCGCTTGCCCCGCCGCTTGCCCCGCCGCTTGCCCCGCCGCTTGCCCCGCCGCTTGCCCCGCCGCTTGCCCCGCCGCTTGCCCCGCCGCTTGCCCCGCCGCGGACGCCTCGCCAGCAGAGGCCGCGCCCCGCTCTGCGGAGGCCTCGCTGCTCCGCGACGCGCCGCCCTCTGCGGAGGTCGACGCCGACAGCCGCGGCGCCTGCGAGCGAGGCGCCTGCCACCGGCGCGACACGAGCAGCCGTGAGAGCGAACCCCCCC